ATTCCTCTTCTATAAAAGAGAACAAAGGTCATGTTTCTAGCGGCATTCATAAAAAGAGAAGCAAAGACAAGAAGAAAGTACCTGATTCATATTTACATTAATACCATTTATACACTCTATTGACAAAAGGAGACATTAAAGTAAGAGCAGTTCATGTTTGTTATGCTTACAGAGCCTCTCTGTAATGGCAGGAAGGGTGTACATAAGGATAGGATCCATAAGAATCAGACCCAAACTATTGTTTACTGTTTACCCACTATCTGTGAATAATAGTAATAATTTTTAAAAAGTCTTGCTAAAAGTCTTCTAGTTAATAACAAGATCAAGAGGAATTCAGAATCTTTCTACAAATTTACAATAAATCTAAAATTGTACTTAAACATGATTCAGCAGATTTTAAGTTGACTGATGTGGTTTATTCTTCTCAAGTGAATAGTGCCTGACTCATTCAGTAGAGAAGATGGCAGAAGGGTGCATGCAGAAAGCACCGCTTTCACTCCTCCTTCCTTCCAGTCTTGGAGCACTCAAGCCATTGTTTTGGCAAGGTTGGACATTGCAATAGGCTGCAGAATTGAATTCTGCAAGATGCAGAATAGAAAGACAAGTGAACCTGCCAGTCTATGTAAACAGCAATACTGCCAATATTTACAAGCACTAGACCCCCCCACAGCAGCCCCAAAACACGGCCTATATCAATGTTTTGGTTTACTCAGTCATGTTTAGATGAGGCGAACCATGCTGCTGACTCATTGCTCCAAGGCACTAGGAGCTTTGAACTGGGGGAGAAAGAACTTTGTTCTCCAATTTTCAGAGACATTCATAGAATTCATACCCAGAAGCCATCACAAGATGAAAGGCTTCTTTCAGTTCCCCTTCTGGTAAATTCATCTGTATTTAAAAAAGACACTTCATGCTGTCACGAAATACCATTTAGTAGAAAACACCTGTCATTTAAACACATTCCTAATATATTACTGCACCCCAGAATACTGCTGGCAATTGAATTAAGAAAACAAAGAATTGTGTGGCCAGTAGATGTATTTATTTATTTCATTATAAAGATGAAAGCAATTGTAGTTTTCCTGAACAGACTATTAGTAATTATTTAATTAATAACTTGAGGTTGGTGCTCATTAAGACTTTCTCCTAAACACTGTTTCAGGTGTTCAGGAACTGAGATTCATGTTGAGCCCATGGAGCTCATAGAATTCCAGTTGTAGCCAGGACGGTAAAGAAACACAGCAAGGCCAGGTCTGAGGAAGCTTTTGAGAAAAGCTTGTATGTCTCCTAATCCTTTGCCTGTTCCAACTGAACTTTGAATTTCTTCTTTAATTTCTCTGCTTGAGGAGTTTGGGTCTTTTTAAGCATTTTTGGAATAATTTGTGAAGAAAATCAATTGTCAGCATCAAATTGTTCAACTTTCATTTTCCTTTCAGATTAATGTATGGTTTAAAATAGTACTCTCATTTTCTCCTCATGCTGCCACTAAAATCATTGCCTTATCCAATCAAAGAGCAACTCAAAATTCCTGTAGAGATACAGAGTGGTTTATTACCTCAAAATCTAACGGTCACGTGTTAAAAGAAAAGTATAAGGTGGTAATATGGAGACTGGCTTCAGAACATATAGATACACTGTGGGTTTTGGGGTGTTTGCTTTTTCCTTGATCAGTACCCAAGCGGCCCATAAATCTAACCTGTCATCCACACTGCTTTGTAACCCGCGCCTCAGAGCCTTGTTTTTTTTCTCAGCTTCAAAACTGCCTGACAGAGAAAGGAGGGTAACCTTTATATGTAAGTGAAGGCAACACTAATGAACCTATAAGCAACTCATCTTAAAGAAGAACAGTTGAAAATAATTTTTCTTTCATTTCTGTACACATGTACATTCACTGAGTGGCACTAAGCAGATCACGTCCTTAAAGAAAAGCTTCTGATGTGACTAGCTGAATCAAAGCAAAAGAACCTGTTTCCCAAGGTGGCATTATGTTGAAAGGCTTCACAGCAGTGAGGGTCAAGGAAACAAAGGAGCTGTGAAAGCACTGTAGGCTTCAGGAATGTAAAGTCCCCCCGCACATGCAGGGGTCCAGAGCTTGATCACTGTAAAGAGCACAAATATGACTGATAAGTTAACATGTGCAAAACGATTCAGCCTGAAAGCTTGTGGGAAAAGAAAATCCAGGTAGACTTGTTGCCTGATGCAATTCGGAGACCTGTAAGCAAAAATCTGAAGGCAGTCCTCAAGATGTTATCTTGGCGTGAAATAATACAGCACACAGAGGGGCTGTAGTAGCAGACTGGCTCTCACCTCCACTGGCCAACATGGTAACTTACAGAAAGGACATGATGACTAGGCTGGGCCTTTCTAAAAAGATATGTAGCTTCTTGGCGTCCGTAGTCCCCAGATCATGAGAAGATGAAGAAAGTGAACATTGTGTCTGACTCCATGCAAGAGGCACACTTTAAAGCTCAGAAGAAGAGTCAGTGTCATAGGAGGAAATATAAAAAATAGAGAACATGCTTCTAAGAAAACACAGGATAGAATTCAAGAACAAGACAGACTCAGTATTAAAGAATCAACACAGTTGATGTATCAACTGAATGATGTTTCTCTGCAGTCAGCCTAACAATAAAGAGAAATAGGAATAAAGGCATATTTCCACCCTCGTAGCTGCATCATGGCATACAGATGGGTAGGATTTACATACATGACCTCTATGGCAAACCCTTCCACTACTTTTTTGCAGGGTTTTTTTGCAGCCCTTGCAAGTACAGTAATATTGTGAATAATATATGTCCATAAAGATTCAGAAAAATGAAACGACACCCTGTCCCCATAAAGCAAATGCCTTTCCTCCTGCACAAATCCCCATCATTCTTATCTATCTGTGGCTGTGGTCACGCGTAAGTGAACTAGACATGACCTTTGCCCACAGTCCTGAATTTTGTGCAAAAGTAGAACTAGATTTGCTCAGTTCCTTGGCAGTAGCAGTTCCAGAGAAAAGATGTTATGAGGTGGCCAAATGCAAGTCAGATTTCAGCTATTTCAACACATACTCATTAGCAGCCCTGGAGAGTTCAGACACAGTTCTACAAGGAGTGAGGAAAGGGGTCACTGGTGAGAGGTGCACACAACTTCATCCACCTCATTAATCACCCCAATGCTCTGCCACTTTTAGATGCAGTAAATGCTTGTTCCACACAGAATGTCTGTAGCAATACAGAATCCTGCCAATCTGTCTGTTTTTAAGCTGTGCCCTCTCATTCCTGTCAAATCTGAAAAACAAGCCTTTTTTATTTTTTAATGGTCCAAAGGGTAAAAGTTGCTAAAATCAAGAACACTGAGTATGTGAAGGTCTCTCCTCCTACATCACAAGGTGTCATCCTACACCACCTACAGCTGGAAAGTCTGATATGGTGTAGAACAAAGGTACTAGGCAGATCACTGAAAGATATATAAGAGCAAGCAGAATTTACCCCAAAGAACTAGTGTTGCTTTTCTTCTGCAACGGAAAGAAGTCCTTATACAAGCTCTCAGTCAGCAGAAGCCTCGTTTTTGTGCTTAATTTCTTAATTTTTGAGATATGAACAGCCCTGATGAAGTGGGTTTTTTGTTTGTTTTTTATTATTATTTGTTTTTGTTTTGTTTTGTTGTCAATGAACACTGCTGTGAAAACATAGTTGGATCTTGGCCATCGTGAAGATCCTGTATGTGTCTTTACATATACATATATGCCAAAGTCCTATATGCTGAGAGCAGGGATGTAGCTTCAAAGATCAAGCTACAGGGATCTTAAATTCAGACAGTTAATTTGCTTTTCAAAAAAATACCGGCACTTTTTTCTGGCATCAACTCAACTCCGCCTGGTCAGGAGAGACCCCTTTCTCCCCTCAAAAGCACCATTACTGATATCCATCTTCCCTGAGGATTTGTCTACCTTGGCACTTTTCAGGTCACCTTGAAATGCTGCATTATCAACTCCTTTTTGATAATGGGCAACTCCTTCTGGGATGGTGTTAAGAGGTCTGTTACAGAACAACAGCTCCCATGCACTCTGCTCTGGGCAAGGCAGAAAGAATGTGCCTCTCCTAGCGAAGCTGATGATCACAGAAAAGCTATTGTTGGTGCTGATGCAAAAGTAAGAGCAGAAAAAATTCCTGGATTTAATGCAGCCTATACTCTATACAGCCCACTGAGGGCTGAAAATAAGTTTGCTTTGACTGCTATAACGCATTCAATATATCCACAAAACTCATAATATTGGCCATATGCCAATAGCCGCTTGGATCATGTTGAATTTTTATGATGGCTCCATGATGGGGGTGTCAGTAGGCACAAGAATTTTAAGGTAATCACAAAGCAGCCATAAGTCACACACTTAGAAGCTTCACAAGAGAAGGAAAATATATTCATCTAAGAAAGAGGGTAGTTACCTTACGAAAATGGAAAATCTCATTCTCTGGCATGGGAAGTGAGATTAGTTTGCATCCTTGATATTTTATCAGAAGAGTTGAAACAGAAGACCTGAAGAATGACAGAACAGGATCAGAGAACATGGTCCCATTGAAGGAGCCAAGAGAAAGTAGGTTTCAAATTTGGGAATGGGGCAACTGTACATAAAGATTATGACAGACATCACGACTGCACAGAGCATACGAAAACCAGGAAACTACTGATAGAAACACAATATTGAGCTGCTAGCCTGCCTAACCCAAAGTGGAGCAGCACTGTACTTCCCCATCCCTGGCTGATCTACTAAGATAAGCTCTAGTAGGGGATTTACTCATAGTTTTGAGAGGGTGAGTAATGAGAGGGTGGCTTCACAATCCACAGCTCTAACACCACATTACAGGCAGCTCTTGGGCTGGCCGAGACAGGGCCTCACTCGGGAGTGCAGCAGTGCAGACCCTGCCCTGTGAAGCACAGGGCACAACTCCAAGGCTACGAGGAACTTTCCCAGGCACCTTTTCACACCTCTTTCTCTTCCCTCTCTCCTCCAGGGAACATCAGAGAGGAAACAGCAGCAGTGGGAGGCAGCTTAGTGCTGACCTGCCCTAACAAATCAGAGGTACTTTTGGTAACCTGGAAAATAAAGCCCAAGGCTGGAGGCCACTGCATCTTGGGATACAGAGCTGACTGGAAGCAGTCAAACAGAACAAACTGCACTGAGAACATAACCTGGAAATCAGGACCAGAGCACGACCCTGCCCTTCAGATACAGCCTGTGCAAAGAGCCAGTGAGGGAAATTACACCTGTGAGACGGCTGCTGGGGCTGGGAATTTCCACATGACCTACCACCTGACTGTGCTAGGTAAGGGGCTCCTGCCTCATTTTGTAATTCTCCAAAGAGTCACGTCCAAGCGTGGCCAGAGAAAGCTCCTCTCTCCCCCTGGCACAGCAGTGGGAAGAGCACTGCTGCGGGGACAAACTGGGATGCGTTTCCTTTCTAATCCCTCCCTTTCTCCCCTCTCTTTATCTACCAAAACTCTTCTCCCTTCTGATGACGCCTCTTCCACTGTGCACTTGGGAAGGACAGGCACTGTCCAACTTCCAGGGTCCAGAAGAAGGTTCTGCAGGCCCATCTGGTTACCCAGTGAAGGCAGTTAGTCAGATGCTGCTGCTTTAATATAACCAACATTGTTCATTTTGGGTGGGGAATAAGGAATCCTCTCACAGCTGCAGCAAGCTAACTCCACGTGTCTCCCCAATGTTGCAGTGCCCCCCAAGGTGGCCGTGTACTGCGACAGCCGCGGGAACCCCGTGTGCCAGGCAGCGGCGGGGAAGCCGCCCGCTCGCATCTCGTGGGTGCCGCGGAGCAGCTCCAGCCCCGAGCACGAAGACCTCGGTGACGGCACAGCGACCGTTCGCAGCACCTTTATGGGAAATGGCTCCGACGTGAAAAATGCCACCTGCCTTGTGTCCCACCCAGCTATGAACCACAACCAGTCTGTAGCCTGCGGCTCAAGTAAGCTTCCCTCTGTGCCCCTGCATTCAA